TAGTTGGCGGCATTTATTGTGCTGTTACTGCACCCCAAGCCCTGATCTTCAAGTTTGCCTTGACAGGCTCATCTCCAGTGAGGGAAACAAATATTTAATAATTCAGTACAATACAGTGTGTGACGTGCTGGAAGAACTTAAAAGGCTGGTGACTCAGTGGGTGGTAGGAGGCATCAAGGTGGGCTTCCTGGTGGAGAAACCAGGACTGAGTATTGAAATACAAGCCCTAGCAGGTTAGATGTAAGGTGAGACACAGGAAGACTATTTCATAACTAAACACCACCACTATCCATCATCTACTGAGCATCTATGACATGCCATGAACATCCTAAGCATTCTCTTCTTTCTTTAATTTAGCCTCCAAATCCCTGTGAGATAGGTCCTGCTATTATTCCTGTTTTGCTGATGAAGAAACTGACAACCCGAGAGGTTGTGCCATTTGCTGGCGGTCACACAGCTAATAAGTAGCAGAACCCAGATTTTAACCCAGATTCCACAGCCCAGTTCCTTGTACCATGACCATGTGTAATCTGCCCCAGAGACGGGAGAGAGAAAGGTGAGTTTGGGAAATGGCAAAGAGTTCGATGCCAGGTGGGGTTGTAGAGAGAGGAAACCGGCCAAAGCTAGATCGGACGGGCCGTGGATAGGAGCCCCCAGAGATTTGCATCATCTCACCAGAGCTCCTTTTGGCTTGGATTGCAGCGGAGGAGTCCCTGGCATGTGACAATCCAGGCTTGCCTGAAAACGGATACCAAATCCTGTACAAGCGACTCTACCTGCCGGGGGAGTCCCTCACCTTCATGTGCTACGAAGGCTTCGAGCTCATGGGCGAAGTGACCATTCGCTGCATCCTAGGACAGCCGTCCCACTGGAACGGTCCACTGCCCGTCTGTAAAGGTAAAGAAATCTGCTCTCCCCGCGGGGTCCAAGGAGCCGGAGATGTCAGGACTGGCTCACAGGGATTCTGCACTTGCTCTCAAAAACGGGGCTACTGCACTTCCTTGAGTCTAAGATGCCACCACCACTATCTGTGCTACTGACAAAGAAAAAAATGACTGCCAGTTAAACTATGACGCTATGTCTTCTCCTCGCTTAGCGTTTTCATTTTTACTTACTAAAGGAGCTCTTTCGAGCTTCGATTTTTATCATCCAT